GGAGTGGCTGCCCGACGGACCGGACCGCGAGGCCGCTGGGCGGCGGTGGGCTCCTGCTGCCCCTGTGCCGAGACCCCGCGAACCTGGCCAGGTAGGGCGTCCTCCCCGGCGCGGGTGGGGCGGGAAGGGGAGGCCGGGGCCCCGCACCTCCTCACCTGCTCCGCAGAGCGCGCCCTGGGCCGGGCCTAGCTGAGAGCGCTCGTGGGGCCGGGCTGGGGGCAGGGGGAGCGCTCTCCGGGGTGCTGGGTGAGGGGCCCCAAAAGAGGCAGAAAGAGGGGGCCCGCTCGCTATGGCCCTGGCGGCCTCGCTGGAGACTGGGCAAGGCATGGACCTTTCAGGGGCCGCGCCCCAAGTCCGCCATGGACTGGGGTGCCCGGGGCTGAGTCCCGGTGTGGAGGGCAGGGAAAATGGGAGTCGCCTACGCTCTGATCATAAGTCCTTAGGTTGGGTGGACAGATGGGACGCCTGCCCTGGGTAGCTGCTAACTTACTGTGATCCAGTAGCACCCTTGGGCCTTACAGTGAGCTGTAACTCGACTTCCGGTCCGTAAGCCCTGTCCCACCAAAGTCCACCTCCCGTCTTCTAAATGTCTCCTGCTGCCTCCCCACTGTCTTTTGTGTAGCGGCCCAAGGTCCTCCCGTGGGTTCTGATCCTCCTTCCAGAGGCAGGAACACCATTTCCTGCCAGGTAGAAGGGGGAAGTTTGTGCTGTTGGTGAAGGGCCTGAAGACTGGCTTGAGGTCAGAGGTCAGCAGTAGAGGATCCCTGCTGAGTCATTGGTTGTGGGGTGGGAGGTAGATCCCTTCCTTACTCAGGGCTCCAGGTGAGGAGGCCAGGGTCAGGGAGTAGGCAGTTGGGGTTCATTGCTGACAAGTCCATAGTCAGGGGGATGTGGGCACTTGAAGCAGCATAAGGTCATTTTAGGTCATGGGTTACTGCTGTGTGAGGCCAGGCCTTAGTGGCCACTCAGGACCAGGGCCTCCTGACCAGCAGTGACTTAGAAGGCTCCTCATCAGTACCACAGGCTGGACAGTCTCCATTCCCAGTGTCCCTTCCAGCACACCTTCCTCACACCAGGAATTCTGAGCTCTTCAGAGTGAACATGCTCAGATAGTGTGGGCAGACTGCCCATGAAGGCTGGGTGCAGTGTGAGACCTGTCCAAATAGACAGGCCAGCGTTCTCACCCCAGGTGGACGGCTGTGATCTGCCCAAAACAGTGTGCCGCACCCCACACTGCAGGCAGGAAGGAGAACCAAGTGCCTAGAGTCAGCGCAGTGCCCCAAAAGGAAAGGAAGAGCACTCATCTTGGGACGAGCAGACAGGTGTGTCCCCACCTCCAAACTCTGTCACATCTGGACTTGTTACCGTGTTACACCATGCCCTCAGGGACGGCAGACACCATAGCTATTCCTCAAGGCACACTCCTTCTGGAAAGAACTACATCCCTAGTCTAGACTTAACACCCCAGAACCTGTGTGCTAGGCAAGGCCAGAGTCCCAAGCCATTCCACACCCAAGGCTCCTCAGGATGGCTCTTGCAGTCAGCAGGTTTACAGATGTATGGTGCTCATGTCTAATGGCTTCCTCTAGGACAAGCCCCGCACAGAGGCCACTGAGAGTAGTGGTACTTGAGCAGCCATGAGTGTGGACAATGATGAAGGGAGCTGATAGAGAACTCAGGATAAGATCTGCAGCAAAGACTCAGACTTCATCCTCAGTGCAGCAGAGAAAGGGTCATGATCCAGAAGACTGCAAAGGCTCTCCAATGTACTAGACAGGACTGTGAACAAGTGTAGGAGCTAGGTCTGGAAGGGTCTAAAGTATGGACCCTGGAGGGAGGGACTGTAGACCAGAGGAGTTAGCTAAGATGGGACAGTGGCAAAGACAGGCTGATGGTCAGGTTGAAAATCTAAGGGTCAGGGCTGGGAGATCAGTGAAGGGGATATGGGGCAATACCAGTATGAACTGAGGAAGAGGTGTGGGTGGGGCTTAATGCCATCATCCCTGGGTGAGTCAGTCTGTGCTGTGCTCACCTTGGACCAGGTGTAGTGTCTCACCCCTCCCAGCTGGGTTAGACAGTAGAGCTAACAGGCCAGATCCCTGCCCAGGGTCTTCTGAGCAGTGCACACAGTACCAAGGGGCCAACAAAAAGGCTAATGTCTTAAGAAAAAAAAATTATAATCTCACTGTACTACATTTGTGTCTGGGAAGAAAGACCCACAACATAAGTGGGTTCATGAAGGAGGGTCGGGGGAGGGACCTCCTGCCTGCCTGGAATGGAGCAGATGCTGGCAGTCCCAGGGCCCAAATGGGAACAGTCTCATCCCAAAGAGATTCAGGGCTGAGAACCTGAGGCTAGTGCCCCACTAGGGGGCATGCCAGGGCCTGCCATACTGTCTAAGCCTAGCCTGGCTGGGCCCTGGAAGGCCTCCCAAGATCTCTGACAATTCTTATCAACTGTGTGTCTGTGTGTGAGGGTAAGGGAAGTGGGCCCTACTCCCCCTAGTAATGCATCTTCCTGCCCCTCCAGGCCCCTGGCCCCAACATGGCCCGTCGCTCCCAGAGCTCCTCGCAGGGGGACAACCCATTGGCACCTGGGTACCTGCCACCTCACTACAAAGAGTATTACCGCCTGGCAGTGGATGCACTGACTGAGGGTGGGCCAGAAGCCTACAACCGCTTCTTGGCATCTGAGGGGGCACCTGACTTCCTGTGCCCTGAGGAGCTGGAACATGTGAGCCGCCACCTGCAGCCCCCACAGCATGTTTCACGGGAACCCCCTGAAGGCAGTCCTCCTGATGTGGACATGGATGGCTCCTCAGGCACCTACTGGCCGGTGAACTCAGACCAGGCTGTGCCTGAGCTGGACCTGGGCTGGCCTTTAACCTTTGGCTTTCAAGGCACAGAGGTCACCACACTGGTACAGCCACCTCCACCAGACAGCCCCAGCATCAAGGACGAGGCTCGAAGGATGATCCGCTCTGCCCAGCAGGTGCAGCTTTGTGGGCTTGGCAGGCAGTGAAAAACAGCATGAGCTGGATCTTGATGCTTGAGTGGGAGACACAAGCTTTGCTGATGCTGGGGAGACCAGGGCTGGCCAGCCAGAACCTGGTTTAGGGGAGGCTGCAGGCCTTGCAAATACTTGCCTGCAAAATGGATCACAGCCAGTGTACAGAAACTCAGGAGCTCTGGGATGTTGGGCTCTCCAGGCTGCCCAGTGGGCCTTGCTTTGCTGAGAGAAACTTCCATCCCCAAGCAGTTGGCAAACAGCATTAAAAAAAAAAAAAAAACAACATTAAGTCAGACCGGCTCATGCCTATAATCCTAGCACCCAAGAGGCTGAGGCAGGAGGATTACTTTTAAGCTGGAGGCCAACCTAGACTACATAGTACCAGGCTAGCCCTATTTTGCTTTTTAAACCAAAAACACCCTTGGGGCTGGAGAGATGGCTCAGTGGTTAAGAACACTGGTCATTCTTGCAGAAGACCTGGGGTTCAAATCCCAGCACCCACATGGCAGCAAACAACTGTCAGGCAGGGGATCTGACTGCCTCTTCTGTCCTCGGGCATTGCACGACAGGTGCAGTTACCTACATGCAGACAATACACTCATAAAATAAAAATAATAATGCCAGGTGTGGTGGTGTATGCCTTTAACCCTAGCACTCGGGAGGCAGAAGCAGGCAGATGTCTGTGAGTTGTAGGCCAGCCTGGTCTACATAGTGAGTTCCAGGATAGCTGGGGCTACGCGGAGACCCTGTCTCAAAAAGACCAAAAACAAAAATAATAAAAATATTTTAAAAACCCAGGAAGACTAGACTGAGGTTAGCAGGGCCAGAGAGTAAAGACCTAGCTGTTTGTTCCCCAGGCCTGAGTCCCTTCCATGCATGACACCTGCCCTGGCATCTGGAGAGCTTGGCTACCACAAGGCCAGAGGGATTATTCCTACCCCCTCTCTAAATGAAACACCCCCAAAAAGGGTACAGACCCCCCCATGCCTGCCACTGGATCCTTTATAGATTTCCAGCTGCCAACTGCTTCATGTCCTGCTGGGTCTCCTCTACCAATGCACCTTCCCATTCACGGGCACTCTCCCTGGGGTGAGCTAGTGATCATTCTACAATGCTTGGGGTTGACTGATGATCCAGAGGGCCTCCATCTGTGGAGGAGTGGCTAGAGTGGGGTGGGCTAGCAAGAACTCTATCCTCTCCACTGACCCAACACCTGCCTCCCAGGTGGTAGCTGTGGTGATGGACATGTTCACAGATGTGGATCTGCTCAGTGAGGTGCTGGAGGCTGCAGCTCGTCGGGTCCCAGTCTACATTCTGCTGGATGAAATGAATGCGCAGCACTTCCTTGACATGGCTGACAAGTGCCGTGTCAACCTGCACCATGTGGATGTGAGTGACCAAGCCAGGGGAGTGGAGGGAAAACAGCTTTGGTGAAGACCTGACTCCTCTCTCTTCCCAGTTCCTGCGTGTCCGCACTGTGGCAGGCCCTACCTATTACTGCCGTACTGGGAAGTCTTTCAAGGGGCATGTGAAGGAGAAGTTCTTGCTGGTGGACTGCGCTGTAGTGATGAGTGGGAGCTACAGGTATGCCCAATGGGTAGCCCTCAGTCCTGGCCAGGCTTCCTGACTCCACTTGCTCTCCACAACCCCTCCCCACCTCTCCAGGAGCCCCCTCTTGTAGCCTCTGGCACAGCCCACCAACCCAGGTCTTTACAGATCCCAAGTCCCTGACCAACTGGTGCCCCTAGCCTCTGTAGCCCTCCCTGACTCTGACCAACCTACCCACAGCTTCATGTGGTCCTTCGAGAAAATCCACCGCAGCCTGGCCCACGTGTTCCAAGGAGAGCTGGTCTCGAGCTTTGACGAGGAGTTCCGCATCCTCTTTGCACAGTCGGAGCCACTGGTGCCCTCAGCTGGGGTGCTGGCCCGCATGGATGCTTATGCCCTAACCCCATACTCTGGGGCCGGGCCTGTGGTGGGAGTCCCTGGGGTTGGGGCGCCCACACCTTTCTCTTTCCCTAAGCGAGCGCACCTCCTATTCCCACCACCCCGGGAAGAAGGTCTGGGTTTCCCTTCCTTCTTAGACCCTGACCGCCACTTCCTATCCGCCTTCCGCCGTGAAGAACTGCCCCGGATGCCCGGGGGTGCGCTGGAGCCACACGCTGGGATGCGACCACTCATGCGTCCAGCTGAAGCCGCGCCTGGCGCAGAGCTCACAGGCCCACGAGGCTTTTTCCAGGCACGGCATTTGGAGATGGACGCCTTCAAGCGGCACAGCTACACGGCAGCCGATGGCGGAGGTGCAGTGGAGAACTTCGCAGCAGCGCGGCAGGTGTCTCGGCAGACGTTCCTCAGCCACGGTGATGACTTCCGTTTCCAAACCAGCCACTTCCACCGCGACCAGCTCTACCAGCAGCACTACCAGTGGGACCCACAGTTTGCACCTGGGCGCCCCCAGGGACTATTCGAGAAGCTGCGCGCTGGCCGCCCTGGCTTCGTGGACCCTGATGACTTTGCGCTGAGTGCAGGGCCTCGCTTCCCAGAACTCGGAGGCGATGGGCACCAGCGGCTGGAGTACGTACCATCCAGCGCATCTCGGGAGGTGCGCCACGGCTCAGACCCCGCCTTCGGACCCAGCCCCCGTGGCCTGGAGCCAAGCGGGGCCTTGCGCCCCAACCTGGGTCAGCGCTTCCCATGCCAGACAGCTGCGAGGCAAGGCCTGGACACCGCTCCAGAGGCGGAGCCGGAGCGCAGGGGTGGGCCCGAGGGAAGGGCCGGGCTGCGGAACTGGCGCCTCGCCTCCTACTTGAGCGGCTGTCACGGCGATGATGGGGGAGAGGAGGGCCTACCCATGGAGGCCGAGGCCTATGAAGATGAAGTGCTGGCTCCTGGCACCCGGGACCTGCTCCCCTCTGCCTTCCGCGTCCCCGCAGCCTTCCCGACCAAGGGACCAAGGCCTGGCTCTGGAAGCGGTGGTGGCGACAGCTCCGAGCGCGAGGGCCCGGAGGAGACCGGCCTGGCCAAGCAGGACTCGTTCCGCTCGCGCCTGAACCCGCTTATCCAGCGCAGCTCCAGGTTGCGCTCTTCGCTTATCTTTGCGTCACAGGCCGAGGGCGCTGGCGGGGCCGCAGCGACCAGCTCCGAGAAGGTGCAGCTGCTGCACAAGGAACAGACGGTCAGCGAAACTCTGGGGCCCGGCGGGGAGACCGTCCGCTCCAGCGCCTCGGCCAAAGTGGCGGAGCTGCTGGAGAAATACAAGGGCCCGGCCCGGGACCCTAGCGGGGCGGGCGGGGCGGTCACTGCTTCCAGCCACAGCAAGGCGGCAGTGGCCCAGACTTGGCGGGAGGAGGTGGCAGCTCCAGGTGGAGCGGGAATGGAGCGCCGCAGCCTTGAAAGCTGCCTTCTGGACTTGCGCGACTCCTTCGCGCAGCGGCTCACCCAAGAGGCGGAGAGACATCCCGGGGCGGCTTCGCTCACTGCCGCCCAACTGCTCGACACCCTGGGCCGGGGTGGCACGGACCGCCTGCCCTCCCGCTTCCTCTCGACCCAGGGCCGCTCCAGATCTCCGCCGGGACGGGACAGCCCACCGCCCGAGGGGCCCGGAGCGCACCAGGTGCCTTATTCTGAGCCAAAAGGGAGCCCTACCTCAGCCTACCCTGAACGGAAAGGGAGCCCCACGCCTGGGCTTCCCAATCGGAAGGGCAGCCCCACCACGGGATTCATTGAGAAGGGGAGCCCCACCTCAGCCTACCCAGACCGCAAGGGCAGCCCGGTGCCCCCGGTGCCCGAGCGCAGGAGCAGCCCGGTGCCGCCCGTGCCCGAGCGCAGGAGCAGTCTCACTTTCTCGAGCGAGGCTCAGAAGGCTGGACCTGCAGACGAGGTGGCTGGAGGCCCCATGGAAGTCCTGAGAAAGGGCTCCCTCCGCCTCAGGCAGCTGCTGAGCCCCAAGAGTGAGCGGCGTGGGGAGGATGAGGGCAGCTTCCCCACCCCGCAGGAGAATGGGCAGCCCGAGAGCCCCCGGCGGCCGTCGCTGGGTCGGGGCGATAGCACAGAGGCCTCTGCAGGCGATGAGCGAGGCCCGAGGGCGCGCCTGGCTTCAGCCACAGCCAATGCCTTGTACAGCAGCAACCTGCGTGATGACACAAAGGCCATCCTGGAGCAAATCAGTGCCCATGGCCAGAAGCACCGCGGGGCCCCTGCCCCAGGCCCAGCCCACAGCAGTCCCGAGTTAGGCCGCCCAACAGCTGCTGGAGACCTGTCCCCAGACATGTCAGACAAGGACAAGTGTTCAGCCATCTTCCGCTCAGACAGCCTAGGGGCCCAAGGCCGGCTCAGCCGCACACTGCCGGGCAGTGCGGAGGAGCGTGACCGGCTCCTGCGTCGCATGGAGAGTATGCGCAAAGAGAAGCGTGTCTACAGCCGCTTTGAGGTCTTCTGCAAAAAGGAGGAAGCTGGCAGTCCTGGGGCAGGAGACAGCCTGGCAGAGGAGGACACTAGGGACAGCAAGATGGGCAAGTTCGTGCCCAAGATCCTAGGAACGTTCAAAAGCAAGAAGTGAGTGTCCTGACCAGGACCCTGCATCACTGCCATGCTGCTCCCAGAGTAGCATCTGGCTAGGGGGCTCCCTGGCCATTTGAGTGATGACTGCCAGGCTAATGCCGAAGCAGTCTGAGACCTGGCTGAGCACCACATGAGCTCAGCTCCACTTGAACTCGCCAGGCAGCTGCACTGCCTCTCACCCTTGGCCTCTCCTTGAGCCCTCTGCCTGGTGCCTTTCTCTCCCATCCTTTGATTGGCACCCTCACCTCCATCTCCAACCATCTACTGTGCTTGGGTCCCCTTTGGGCCTTCTTCGCCTCAAGGACCCATCTCTGTGCCTTATGCTCCATTCCTGCCCCCTCCTCCCTGCTTTTTTCTTTTCTTTTCTTTTTTTTTTTTTTTTTTTGCCAAGAACTTGCAATATAGCTGGCCTGGAACTTGCTATGTAGAACAGACTTGGCCTTAATTTCATAGAGATTAACCTCTTTTTGGAAGAGGGGTTTGAACTATGGTGGCTGAGAGAACAGGAGATAATATAGATAGGTTTAGAGTATATTGGAATGAAAGATAGGACCCCTCAAGGCCCCCTCTCTGTGCTTTATGCCCCTTTCCCTCCCCCCCCTCCCTTTTTTTTTCTTTTCTTTTCTTTTTTTTTTTTTTTTGGCCAAGAACTTGCAATATAGACCAGGCTGGCCTCCAACTCACAGAGATCTGCCTGCCTCTGCCTCCTGAGTGCTGGAACTAAAGGTGTGTGCTACTGCACCCAGCAACACCCCCATCTTCATTTTCCTCATGGGGCCTTTTGTCTCAAGGAATTCTGTTCTCAGGGTGTTACTCTCCTGAGCCCACTGCCTCTCTGCTGCCAGCCTCCTCCCATCCTCTCACCTCCGCCTCCCTCACTGGACCTTCCCTGGTTCCACCGTCTCTCCTCACTGCCTCCTTGTACTGCCCTCTTGCTGTGGGAAAGGCAGGGCTGGCTCCAGGCAGCTTGTGAGGGAGGAGGTAACACAGAAGGTGGAAAGGGCAGGCTTTGGTGCCAAGGACCCCAAGGGGCTGCCTCAAGCCAGGTCTGCCCCTCCAGCAAATCCATGGTTGGCACCTGGGGAGGAGCCAGGAGTGTGGATCACTGGACTTTGCGGCACAATAAAGCAGTCTGGACCAACTCACTGCAGCCCCAGCCTCAGTAAGTTCCCGGAATAGGCACTACCCTAAGCCAGACTCTCAAAAAAGGATGGATAGGTAGGGCTTGTCCTCAGCAAAGGGCAGAGGACAGGATGTGGTACAGTCTGAGCCCCCAGCCACTGTTCCCAAGGCATCAGCAGACCCTCAAATCCACCCTAGTCTCTTGGTCCTTTCCTGTTTGTCACCAATAATGTGACAAACCAGACCCCTGGTTACCTTTCTTGTCTCCAAAGAGTAAACTGATTTGGAATGACACTGCCACCATAATGTTTAGTAAGACACCACCCCGACCCCATTAGGTGCTGGCATTGAGTAATATGCTTCTACATTCTATTTATTTGCAAATTGTGTGTGTGTGTGTGTGTGTGTGTGTGTGTGTGTGTGTGTGTGTACGTGCTCATATGTGGACTAGTGCACAAGAGTCAAACAGAAGCATCATTTTTCAGGAGCCATCCATCTTGTTCTGTGTGTGTGTGTAAAATCCTGAGGGAAAGGATGTGAAAACAAAGTCACTAAGCTGTTGCTCCTACAGCTGGGCAGTGACTGCTTCCCCACTGAGACAGCTAGCTCACTGTCAGAATCCTAGAGCTCCTGGCCAGGTAGAACTTTGTCCCCCTGGGAACTGAATCAGCTGCAGTGTTTCCTGGTTTTGTTTGATCACTGCCTCGGGTATGTGATGTCTTCCTGTGTGACTGCTCAGGCCCATTGCACTCTGGTGAAGAAGCTGAGGCTGGTGGCCCTGGGGTCCTCTGAGCCCCCTGGCTGCATGCACCCTTCACACCTTGTGGAGAACATTTTCTAAAGCACAGTTTTGGGTGTTCTGACATTAACAATAAACACAAGATATTCCAACATATCCCAGCAGGCAGATCTCTGTACCTTCCAGGCCAACCAGGGCTGTATAGTAAGACCCCATCTCCAAAACAAGATACTCCAAATCACAAAACTTCAATTAAACATAACTCCAGTCAAGCACGGTGGCACGTCTTTAACTCCAGCACTTAGGAGGCAGAGGCAGGCAGCTCTTGAGTTCAGGGTCAGCCTGGTCTACATAGTTCCAGGCCAGCCAGAGATAGACCATCTTCCAGAAAAAAAAAAAAAAAGATACCTCATGTCCTACATGATTTCCTTTGTGGACACTGCTGTGAGCCCCCCCATACCCCTCCATGCCTATACAAACATCTCTCCCATACCTGCCAACCGCATAAAACTCCTGCCACTGGGCCCACCATGTAGGTACTCTGGACACTCACCTGGATCCAGTCTTCAAGCCCAGCAAACACTTCCCAACCTCATCTTACAGCTCCTGTCCTGAGCCCTCCCTGTCCTGGTTTCTGCTTCACAGGCACACTAGTTTCTGGTGTTCACCCCGTTTTACTTGGGCACCTTGGAGCTATGTCTCAAGCTCTTGAATCCATACACTGACCCCACTAGTAGTCATACCCCCCTCATCCCAGGAGGCAAACTTTCTGGCTGTAGCTCTGACTGGCTCCTGCCAGATTGGAATCACACCATTCTTGGCTTTCTGAATCTGTCTCATTCTGCCCAGCACCACTGCTATGAGGCTCCCGCTCTGCCCAGCTCCACTCCCCTTCCTTGTCTCTCTGTGGCCAGCAGCTTTAAACAGCTCCTCTGGCCAGGTCATGGGGAAATGGCCTCCCTTCATTCTCCAACCCAGGTCAGACACTTTGTGGAAAACTTGTGACACTACTAGACTCCCAACACATGCCTTGTCTGAACTCACACCCAGCCCTTTGCCCAGTAGTGACCACACAGACCTTTAGGGTGGCTCCCTGCCCTCCTACCACCAAGACCTGGAGACAAACCAAGAGCTGGTCACTGGATAGGGCACAAGCTGCATTCCTTAACAAAAGGTGGTGGCGGGGGCCTTGGGTGGTGAGAAATGCGCCCTGGGGTGGTTGGCCCCTTCTTTGCTTTTCTCTGTGGTTCAGGGTTACAACAGTCGTTGGTAGCTTGTACCTGGGTGGGCAGTGGGCCACAGACCCTGCTCCACTGATGGGGCGGGCAGCCTGAACATTGTATCAGCCCCATGCTGGGGTCTGATGGTATAGAGGAAAGGCCAACATTTGTGGACAAAAGACAGGGAGCTGGCCCAAGATTCTCCTCCACAGACCAGCCTTATATGGCCTTCACCTTGAGAAGCCTAAGCAGAGAACTGAATGACAGAAACCAGAGATAGAGCTAGAGATACAGGAACTAAACATGGGGCACTGGGGAGAGGGCTGGGGGGTGCCCTAAGAAGAGGATGCAGTGGGTGAAGATGGCTTAGCTGGGCTGGGACAAACAAGACTTTATTGGGGGAAATTGGTGGGGTTGGAGTGAAAACTACTCCTCACTGGGGGAGAGAAGCCCAGAGAAACCTCCAGGAACTCGGGTGGCGAGGGGTCAAAGGTCTGAGATGAGCTGGGGGCTGGGGAAGGGCGCCGGCTTGCAATGGGGAGGCGGGTGGGCGGCTCACGCACGCGGTCCGGGGAGCAGGGGCAGGCGGCCCAGCGCCGAGTGGCACACGGTCCCGTAGGCTTGGGAGTAGCCGCCCAGCGCAGCTCTGGCGGCGCCCTGGGCCCCCTGCAAGGCGGCGGCACCAAACATCCTCCGGCCAGGTCGGGGCTCTGAGGCCTCCCGGGGCAGGCGGGAAGGGACCTGCACGCAGGCGAGGGTCGTGTTCAGGAGGGGGTGCAGTGGAGCAGAACCCAGGGGGATACAAATAGCCCTGGAGGGAGACTGGGAGGGCCGGGGCAGGGCTCACCCTTCGCGCGCGGGCCACCCTCGGCCCACCGCCCGGGGCCGGGTCACCGCGGATCAGGGCCTGATTTGCCACCTGAGCTGCAGCCTGCGAAGTCAGGGAGGGCGCAGCCACCCTAACGTGTGACTTCACCTGGAAAGGGCGCGTCACGCGGTCACGGAAAGGTAGTGCGAGAGGCTCTTCCGTGAGCACCCACCACAACTTACCCCTTGGGGTGCTGGCTCCGCTGTGGCCCCTGGGGGCCGTTCCCTCCAGCCTGGCGGCCGAAGCTGGAGCAGGGGGGCTGCGCTCTGCCTGGGGACTTCTGTGGGGTCGGAAGATCAACCCCCGGGGTTAGGTCCCGGGTGCGCACGTCGGTGGTCCTACACAGAGGGGGCCGGGGGCCGTGGGAGGCAGGCGAGGCTCACCCGCGTGCTCACCCACGTGCTCGGGGTTCCGACCAGGGCTACTCTGAGACCTGGGTCCGCGTTTCCGCGCAGGCGTCTCGGCGGGGACCGAGGGGGGGACTCCGAGCTCGGGCGGGTGCACCCGGCCTGGGGAAGCCCTGGGCTCTGCCGGGGAGGCCATGTCCCCCGGGCCTTCCTCGAACGGGCTGCGGCTGGTCCCCCTCCGCTCCAGGATCATCTGCGGGATGGGAAGGGCTCTGACACGGGCCGGGCGGGACTGCCCTGGAGTCGCTAAGAGGCCTCCAGGGTGGACAGGGGAAGATGGAGTCGCTAAGAGGCCTCCAGGGTGGACAAGGACAGCCCCAGCACCTGGTAAAGGAGGTAGCGATACTCGCGTGTGGAAAGCTGCTCTCCTTCGTGCACTGGAAGCCGCACATCGAATCCCCGCGTCCACTCACGGTCCGGGCAGTGGAACCTGCGGGGCCAGAGAGGCGGATACGAAAGTGGTGGGATCTGGGCTTCGGGACAGCAAGCTGCTGGCTCCTACCCGGCCCCTCACTCGACGGTCCGCCCTCTTCGCGTCTACCTCTGCACATAGGGGTGCTGCAGCGCCTGCACCGCGCTAAGCCGCTTGTCCGGAGCAAACACTAGGAGTCGCCGGAGGAGGTCCAGGGCTTCTGGGGGGCTGTCTGGCGGCAGGAGGGCGTCCAGCGTCTGCCGTGGCCTGCGGGCAGCCGCCGGTCATCTCTTCTCCGGGGCCCCCACCCAGGACACCTTCCCAGATCTGCCTGTGGACCGAGCTTTCCATGGTCCTGCCTGGGTAGACCAGTCCCGGGCCCGCTTCCCAAGGTGGTGTCTTCTCAACCCCTCCTCCCTGGTCACTGGGAAACCCTCTTTTATTTTTTTATATTTTATTATTTTTAGTTTATGTGTATGAGTGCGTTGCCTTCGTGTATGTAAGTGCACCTTGTCATGCAATGACTGTGGAGGTCAGATGAAGGCCCTGGATCCTGAGAAACTAGAGTTAGGACGGTTGTTAGCTGCCATGTGGGTGCTGGGAATCAAACCCGGGTCTTCTGCAAGAGCAACCTGTGCTCTTAACTACTGAGCCACCTCTCCAGCCCATCCACCACCCCCCTTCTACAGTTTGGGGGCTTTCTCTCTCTCTCTCTCTCTCTTTCTCATTTTTCTATTTTCCTCATCAGTCTCCTGGATTTTTTTTTTTTTTATACCCAAGCTTGTGGAGGTTGGGGCTGAGTGTAGGGCTCTTGCTCTGGTACAAACTGGCTCCTCTGCCAGCTGCAAAAAGATGCCCCTGTTCTGCTACCTGTCACCCCTCCCCACACCTAAGCACCCCATTCACCTGGACCCCAGGTTGTGCAGAATCGAAGCACTGTAGTCCAAGCCAAGGTCCTGGAGCTCTGGGGATGGGTGAAAGAGGTATGAACAGACTGGCCTGGTGGAGTGGGGTTGTCATCTCTTCTGGCCACACAGGTTATAGCCTCTCACACAGTCTATGGTCTGGAAAGGCTCAAACCCCTAAAAGCCAACCATTAGCCCTGTGTGAGCCTATGAGTGCCCACAGCTGTGTCTCACCGTGAAACCCTCAACATGTAAGTGTGCTCACACAGGGTGCCCCACTGCCCTCTACTTCTACCCCAAAAGCAAGAACTTGCAGAGAGGTACAGCAAGAACAGGGACACCCACCAGGCCCTGCCACCCCTCTTGTCATGTCTCCCCTGACTGTTCTCTTCCACCTCTTCCCTCCCTGCCCAGCTTCTTGCACACATCTCTGTGACCAGCACAGCAACAGGTCACACCCGTCCCCGTGGTGCCCCTTCACAGGACTGCTCCCTTCCTGTTACTGCTTGGCCCTCATGGTCCCTGTGGCCAATCTTGCCTCCCTGGACCAGTCCACAGCAGCTGTTCCCAGGGCCCTCTACCCACAGGGCTCTTTCCAGTCTTCCTGGGCCACCTGATCCTCTTCTGTGCACAATCCTGGCCTGCCAAGGGCTGTCCCCTCAACTGTGCCCCCTGACCCTCATCATGCTGTGTCTAGGGACAAGTGGCTGAGGTTGAGACCTTAGGGTGCATACTCACCCTCCATGGAGGGCAATGGGATGGTCTCCAGGATTAGCTGCAGTTGGTGAAAAGTGGACGTGCCAGGAAACAGCGGCTGTCCTCGCAACATCTCCCCCAAAATGCACCCCAAGCTCCACATGTCCACCCCAGGGGTGTACCTAGGGCAGAAACAGGCATGTGCAAGGCGGGGAGCACAGAGGCAGAGGCAGAATGAGGGTACAGGGAGGCGGCAGTGAAGACCCAGGTAGGCCTAGAATACAAGGAGCCCTAGGGAGCCTTCAGGGAGATGGTGGGTTGGGGCATCCAGCTGTTACCATCGAGAGGATAGCAGCACCTCTGGAGCTCGGTACCAGCGTGTGGCCACATACTCTGTCAGGGCCTGACCCTCAGACCCTTCAGGAAGGTCACTCAGGGAGCGGGCCAGGCCGAAGTCACAGAGCTTCACCCGGCAGGCAGCATCCAGTAGAACGTTGGATGGCTGGAGAGAGGAATGGGCTTGAGGCTGAGCCGACCAGGTGCACAGAGGGCCCAGGGGCCATGTGTGCACAGTGTTGGCCAAACCTTCTGGTCCCTGTGGATGACACGCCCTGAATGGATGAACTTGGTGGCCCGCAAGAGCTGGTAAAAGATGCAGCGTTTGTGAATGTCCTCCAGCAGTCTACCCTTCTGGATGACTGCATTCAGGTCAGTGTCTGGGGAGGGGCAGGAGCCAGGGAAGAATATGCAGGTCAGTCTGGAGGGTGGAGAGTGCAGCTCTGTACCACTTTGAGCCTGTACCATCCTGGCCTCTCCCTGCCTGGCTATCCTGCCTTGGCCTTTGTCCTGCTCACTGCCACGCCATGCAGGCAGGGTGAGGGGTCACCGTCAGGCCCATGCAGACAGGGTATGGGTGTTACCACAGGCTCCGGAGTTCAATCTTTGCCAGGTTTGTGCCCAAGTTCAAGGGCCAGGTGAGAGTGCCAGTAACAGCAGGGGCAGGGCAGCAGGACACACAGAGGCAAGTAGGCCACCATGTGCAGCAGGGGTCTGGCCAAGACCTCACTCACCCATGGACTCAAATACAAGGTAAATGTCCCTGTCGTTCTCTGCAGGGATCACATCTAGCAGGCGGATTATGTTGGGATGGTCCCCAAACTCCTAGGAAGAGAGACCATTGTTGCTGGGAGGCCAAGGCTATGTTTGCGGGGCACTGGGCTAGTCTCTTCCTTGTCTGCAGGGACCTGCACCCAGGGAAAGGATGTGGCAGGATGGCCTGGGCCACTCACCTGGAGAAGCATGACTTCCCGGAATGTTCTCTGTAAGAGACAGAAACACCCCAGAGGGGCTGGTGCTTGTCATCCAAACACTCACTCACCCAGAAATTCCAGGAAACTTGCAGTGATGGGGCCTCGCCAGTTCACTGAGCTTCCAGCCTCCCACAGACCCCCATCCCTTCTCATACTCACTCCCTGTACACTTACCTGGGCATCTGTCTTGTCCCTAAAGGCATCAAAGATTTTTTTGATGGCTACCACCTGTCCAGTCTTTCGATCCACTGCCCTCCACACAATGCCATAGGCCTGGGGAGCACACGGTCAGCTTGTGAGCACAGGACCAGCCTCCTACACAGACAGACACACATGTGCACACGCACACACACACACACACACACACACACACGCACGCACGCACACACACACCAGGATGCCCTATTCAGACCCTGCAACTACAGCATCTTCCCGAGGGGGACAAGGGGTGGACATGAAACCACAGGTGGACACTACTTGGCAGGACCTGAAGCCTTGCTGTCTCAGGGATGACATTTCACCCTTCCCAATGCCTCCTGCCCAAGCATTCTGAATCCTTTTCTTTACAGCCCCATCCCCTGCTTAGCAAATCCTGTTGACTTGACTTGACCTGACAGCTCCACTTCCCCCCACTGCCAGTGTGCTACATGGGCCCAAGTCTCCAGCATCTCATTGGTTCTCTGCTGTCTACCCATGGCCACCATGGAGCCTCCGAGTGGAAGGGAGCTTTGTAAAGTCCTACCAGCAGCCGCTACAGCTCCAGAATCAATGAAGGTGGAGCAGAAGGCTTCAAGGTTCCCCAGGTCCCTCCCTCACCTGGGACTCTCCTTGTCCCTCTATCCCAGCCTGGATCTGGGCATAGCAAAGAAGTTTCTCCAACAGCCAAGTTGCTCTCTCAGGGACTTGCAAGTACTGCTTACCATACACAGAACACACCCACACATCACAGGTATTCACATATACAGCCCATATGCTCCCCCAAGTTGTAATCAGGAATTCACAGTACAGTTCCGGTCCTCACGGTAACAGCGAGACCTTCCCGAGCTTCCCTTATGTGTTCCCGAGCATGCTGGCAACTGGCTCTTCACTTTGGGTGACTGGAGTGGGTGGGCTAGGCCTCCCCAGAGTATCCTGTGGGCACCAGGAGAGGGGCCCTGGAAGTAGGGGACTGCAGGTGGGCGAAATTCCGGCATCGCCCCTCCTGCTATGGGCGAGGGGCTCGGGGGAGGCGCGGGGGCGGGGGTCTGGCCTGCACCTGCCTTCTAAGGAAAGCTCCCTGGGGTGTCACCCAGTTTTCTGAAGGAAACGGAAGCACAGGAGCGTCGGAGGCAGAGCGCGAGCCCAGGAGCCAGCGTCCAGTGTTAGAAAGACCAGACCTCGAAGGGGCTGCCCGGCCCGCAGGTGCCCTTGTCCCCTGGACTGTACAGCCCCTCGGATGACCAGCCCTCCTCCTCACGCTCACCCCCTTTCCGAGCCGCCGCTTGAGCAGATATCTCTGAGCTACGTGGCGGTCCACCTCCGCCGCGCACATGGCGAGTGCGCACCGGCTCTCGGGGTCGTCCGGATGCTTTGGAGCTGTACCTGTTGATCCGTTGTCTAGGGAACCCGCGGCCGCGGTGCGCCTCGCCTGCGCCTGCGCGGCGGGCGGGGTCTGCAGTGCTGCTGGGTCCCCGGGTGCCTGCGGAGTCTTTGGGGCCTTCGGGTACCCGGGCAGGGGTGTTGGGGCGCCTAGCTGGCAGCGCCCTGCATCTTGGCATAAGAAGCAGCGGGGCACTGCAGCATCGCAGAGCGGCCAAGCCCCTGGGATGCGCAAGTCTTGGGATGCTGGAGGAGGTGAACGCGGGAGATTCAGAGCCCGGCTCCTCTAGGAGTGAAGCTGTAGGATGCAACAGGAAAAGTGGGCGAGGGGAAAATGGGCGAGGTCCCCAGGGCTGCCCTGGGACGCTGGTGGAAGAACATGGGAGCGGGTGATGGGTGGAAGGTGTCAGGTGGGAGTGAGCCCGGTGCTTTGGAGGCTCAGGGCCCGCGAGGTCAGAGACAGGAAAGCACAAAGCACCGGGAGCACTGACTGAGGGAGCGGGTTGCGGGGGGTCGGGGGATCGCGATTAGGCTGGCCTGGATACACCCCACTGACCTGGGTACACCCCACTTGGAGGGGCAGGAGCAGGGATTGCAGCGCGTGAAGGTGGATCCTGGCTGCTGGAGGCCGGGTTCCGCTAGGGCTCAGGTGTGGGCTTAGCTGAGAGACTGGGATGCAGAGTGTGTAGCTCAGTGGGACAAGTTAGCCTGCAGGAGGCCCAGGGTTCCATCCCAGCACAGCAACAGACACAGGCTAAAATGACAGACTTCTAAGCGGAAATCAGAATTGGAGGGACCGGGTGACACCCGGGGTGTTGGAGTAAGGTGCCCTTTGAAGGACAGCAGAGGGACAGGCAGAGCTCTGAGCTCTCCCGTGCACAGTCAGATTTCCAAACTGCCTAGGGACCGACATTTTTAAAAGTTGATCTCAGGCCAGGTGTGGTGGTGCATGCCTTTAATCCCAGCACTCGGGAGGCAGAGGCAGGCGTTCTCTGTGAGTTCAAGGAGACCTTGTCTCACAAAAACAAAAACAAAAACAAAACAAAACAGAAAAAAAGTTGATCTGTTGCAGATGAATAATGTGTAAAAATACAGTGAAAATGAATTACTAGAAAAATTAAAACCACAGACATACAAAAGAAAGCCTGATTCATTGGGAAACGACTCTGCTACAGCTGAACCAGTTTCTTAGCCTTTCCTGTCCTTTCCGCCTGACTTCATTGTAGACCTGCCACCAACACTCACAGCTCCTAAGCCAGGGCCTGTGGCAACTAGTGGCAGTGTAGTGCCTATGTGGTGGAACCCGGAGGTTGGAAGACATGCCTGCTCTTTCTAGCATAAACACAGCTGGTGGGGATAGCTTGTTCCTCCAGCATCCTGGGGAGCAGGAAATGCTTCCACTGGGGCTGGGTGACAGCTCAGTGGGTGTTCGTTGTGCACTTGCTGTGACCTGAGTTAGAGCCCCAGCAACCACATAAAAAGCTGGGTGTGTTGGTGTGGGTTTGTAATCCCAGTGCTGATAGGTGATCGGTTTCTGGAGCTAGCCAACCTGCCTAGCCTAATCAGTGAGCCTCAGGTGCCAGTGAGAGATGTCTTTTAAAAAACAAGGTGGAGGGGGCTGGAGAGATGGCTCAGCGGTTAAGAGCACTGGCTGTTCTTGCAGAAGACCCGGGTTCAAATCCCAGCACCCACATGGCAGCTGACAACTGTCTGTAACTCTAGTTCCAGGGGAACCGACAGCCTCTTCTGTCCTCTGTGGGCACTGCGCGACACAGGTGCACTTACTACATGCAGGCAATACACACATACACATAAAATAAAATAAAAATATTAAAAAAATAAACAAGGTAGAGGACCCTTAAGGAACAACTCCTGATGTTGACCTTGAGTCTACACACACACGTGCACTTGCATGGCCACCTGCACAAGCATGAACACACACATAAAATATGACTTCTATCACTTTGGGAGGGAGTGGGAGGAGGAGAAGGCCTCTGCTTCTCAACAATGGAAGTAAGAAAGTTTATGTCTGGAAGCCTGGAGATTCTTTAGGCCATCTCTTAGTTTTACCATGTCCTGTGATTAAAGTCAATGGGAAATTACAACAGATCAATCCAGGATGTATAACAAATGATCCAGACCCTTTAGGGATGAAGGTGTGGGTCACCCCCCCCTCCAGAAAGAGCCTGGACTTGCTGAGGTTCTCCCTGAGGGGGGAGGAAATACAGAATCAGTAGTAGAGGAAGTAAATACCATCTGGGGGTGGGGCCAGAGAGATGATTCAGTGGTTAAGAGCACTGGCTGCTCTTGCAGAGGACCTGGGTTTGGTTCCCAGCACCCACATGGCAGCTAACAACTGTCCTTAATGCCAGTTCCAGGGGATCTGATGTCGTTTCTGTCCTCCTCAGACACCAGTGCGCTTACATATATACAGGCAACACACTCATACACATAAAATAAAAATAAGTAAAATATTAAAAATACATAAATAAATACCAGCTAAGGCCACATGACCAGTTGCAGAAACAAACAATGTCATTTAAAAATTTTTTTTTTGCTTTTTGAGACAGGGTCTCCCTATAGCCCCAGCTGGCCTGGAACTCACTATGGAGACCAGACTAGACTCAATCTCACAGAGATCTGCCTGCTTCTGCCTCCAAAGTGCTGGGATTAAAAGTGTGCACCACCATGCCCAGCAAGGATCATAAGTGACATGAGTGTTTCTGTCCTATTTTGTTAAGTAAACGTTTGTGCATACACACACACACACACACACACACACACACACACATATGGCAGGTATTTGTTTTGTTTCCACTATGTTTTATAATTGAGATAATAATAGTAGTGATTAAGTGTTATAAATCTATATCATCATATTTAAGTTATGAGACACTAAAAGACTAAGCATTCCTGAAGGGACCTTACTACTTATTCTAAAATATATAATGCATTCATGGTTGTGCGTGGGATAGTTATATCACATTAGGTGGAATTATGACTTTGTTATTGTTTTCATTTGGAGATTAAGCATGACCTAAGGAGATGTGATTGGATGTCAAGTTGAATGGACCTGGAATTAATTAAATTATGAGGGACTTTTTTTGGAGAGTCTCTCTCTGTAGCCCCAGCTGGCCTAGAACTCTCTATGTAGACCAGGATGGCCTCAATCTTACGGAGATCTACCTTCCCCTGCTGGGATTAAAGGAATGTACCACCAGTCAAGAGTGTCTTTGATGGCAAAGCACGGTGGGCATGTATGCGGACACAAGTTCTGAGCTGTCCTTTATGTTTAGATTAGATAAAACCAGTTTTATTTATAACCCTGCTGTATGAACATCTGCCACTGCCTTGTAAACAGCCACATTGTGACTAATAGTTTCCTGAGCCCTTCCTACTTTCACTTTCTTTTTTTCTTTTTTGGTCTTTTTGAGGCAGGGTCTTCTGTAGCCCCAGCTAGCCTGGAACTCTTTATGTAGAGCAGGCTGGCCTCAATCTCACAGACCTCTGCCTGCCTCTGCTGGGATTAAAGGAGTGGGGCCCCATGACCAGCTCACTCAGTCCGATTTTAAAAGTCCCCCAGTCTTTAACAATTCTGACATTTTAAAAGTCCAAAGCCTATTAACTGTGAATGTTTATAAAATTTTTAAAAAGTTACGTTTCAACGTATAATGGCACAGAGTAAACGTTCCTGTTCCAAAAGGAAAGAACTGGAAGGAGAAACAAACAGTATCAGCAAATCCTGCCCCTCCACACCTGCAAAACCAGTACCACAGGGAGGCGCCAAGATCTGCTACCAGCTGGAGAGGCAGCCTGGCTCCCGGACCACAGTTGTATGAGTTCCTGTATGCTGACCCTGAGGAAACATTTTCCTAGGCATTTGCTTTTGAGGGGCAAGGCACCCCTTCAGTGTAGGCTTTCTTCCTTTAAGTGAATTTAGATCTCCACAAGAAGGTGCCTTCAATGGGTGGGTTTTACCCTCAGGATGCCTTTCTTAATGCCCCAGCCCAGCACAGGTGGCTTCTCTCAGTGGTGCTGATCCCTTCTCACCTAGCCTGAATGCTCTCTTGCTTTGAAATTTCCTCTGTCAAACACATCTGTCCACAAGTCCTCAGGACACATGTAGAATGAAGTCAGATTCCTGGTCAAAACCTCACATGCATGGCCCCCATTCCAGTTCCTGATAGAGCCCTGTTCCCATCTGAAACTTCATGAGCTGGCCCCCACTGACCTTGTTTCTCTTGGGATTCTTATCTTACAAGCTCCCACCAGAATGGTGAGTTAACCTCAGCATCCAGGATGCTGAGGCTTTTCTAGCCTGAAGAACCAAACTCTTCCACATTCCAACCACAGCACAGTTCCAAAGGCCCAAGAACCACACAGTCAGATTTACCAGCATGTACTGACCAAAGTGACCCCATTTTGGATAAAGTAGCTTAGCCATGGTGTATTTCTAGCTCAAGGATTGTTTTCAGAAGCCATGAGCCCTCTCCCCCTTTTCCTCCCAGGAGAACGCTGCCCCAGTCACTTGCTCTCTAGACATACAGAAAACAAAATTATGATATGACTAACTGCTGATTCTGGCTTCTGTAACTTGCTTGTTTTGCTATGTTAGGGCACCTTGACATGTAGGCTGAGATCACCCTCCATCCTGTTATTCGGGGACCACCTTGTCAACATTCCTTTGTGTGGTTTTTAGCTTTAAAAGGTCCCTTTCCCTCTCCCTCTCCGCTGCAGCGCTCTAATCCGATGTGGTGGCTGCAGTCCAAGCTAGCTTGAATAAAATCTTTACTCTCGGTCTGAATTGAGCCTGGTGGTCTTTCCTCAGTAGTCTCGGAGTCCATAACAAGCAGCCCTACTTCTCGGTACTGGTTTTTGTCTTAGTTCCTTTTCATTCTGCTGTGATAAAATCCTCCCACAGAAACAATTTGAGGAAGTGCGATGGTTACTTTTCATGGGCAACTCATAGGACACAGTCTAGAATCACCTGAGAAGAGACT